CGACGACTCACTTCGAAAGACAGCCGTCACAGAGAACGAGCGATATGTCGAGTACGACGAGCGAGGCGGCATAAAGGGCGCACCAAAAATCAAGGCAAAATCAAAGTACCCAGAGGACGTGCTCCTCAACAACCACACATCAGTCTGGGGCAGCTGGTGGTCCAACTTCCAATGGGGCTTTGCATGTTGTCACTCGACAGTCAAGAACTCGTACTGCACGGGCGAGGCAGGCAAGGAGGCTTTTGAGCTGGCAGATCGGATGCGCACCGGTGCTGACCTGGACGAAGTACCCAAGGAGATAGCATGGAAGGAAGAGGCTGTCCTGGAGGAACACGTACCCAATGCACCCGACCGCGCCGAAAAAGCAAAGAACGATGCTGCCAGTCGGAAACGAGCTCTCGACGAGATGACGGGAGGCGTAAATGAGGAAGAAATGGAAGAGTATCGCCGCAAGAGGACAATGGCCGCGGACCCTATGGCTGCCTATCTCAGCAAGGGAGGGAAAAGTGAAGCGGTTTGAGGTGTCGAGCCTTTCGTGACGGCGTCATAGGTCATCATTATTGTATTCGTAGCATTGCATGGCGTTCATCATACCCTGGAGTCGCATCTAAGATAGCATGTAAAATGACATAGTAGTTCCTGATGATCGCTGCGTTGGCCATGCGTGATCGGTACAGTTCACAGAGCAAGGGTGCGTCCAGCGAAGTCATGCAGCCCTGTTAGTGAAGACGCATCTTGTCGCCCTCCATCACGGATGCCAACTCAGACCCGAGTCGGTTGCGCATGCAGCCGCGTATGCGTTGTTAGTCCATGGCGAAGGCAGCAGTTTAGGCCAGGATGCACAGCCCAAGTGGAGGAGTTCGCGGCACCCGATGCAGCAAGAAGGCGCTTCTAGCTGCATGGCTCGGAAGATTCTAGCTTGAGTAAAGAGGTTTTGCCTGCGAGCAAATCTAGAATTCAGTATTAGATACAAGGGTTAGACCCGGTCGGGGGTGAAGGCGATGACGAAGCGCCAAGCTGCACGAACCACCTCCCGGGGGTCGAGTAGTAGGAGCTCCTCTGATGGTTGACTGACCCAAGAGCGCAACCAAATATCTCAACCCCACACCTCCCCATTTCCGCGCATTGCTTTTGCGCGCCTTCTCCGACACCGACCATTAGCCTTTCCCTCCTACAACTACCTACAACTACGAACAACAAGCTCAGAAGGAGCGCACGGCGACCAAGATGGCGCTCTACGGAAGCTCGCGCAACGTGGACATGGGCAAGTACGTATATCACCATCATTATGCCGGCACCCTTTAGCCTCTGGGCGAGAGATTTCAACAGGAGAAATGTGACATGGCCTAACATGTCTCAATCCAGGCAGGAGTCGGAGCTTGCCATCAACATTCGCAAAGCCACGAGCATCGAAGAGGTCTCCCCCAAGCGTACGTACCGAAACTCCTCAGCACGCGCATGAAACTCACAATAGCGCAGGGAAACACGTGCGAGCATGCATCGTCTACACATGGGATCACAAGAGTTCCGCGTCTTTCTGGCAGGGCATGAAAGTGTAAGAGCGCACCATGGTGCCCAATCCGCCCAATGCTAATAGCATATTCCAGGCAGCCAATCCTCGCCGACGAGGTGCAGACCTTCAAAGCGCTCATTACCGTCCACAAGGTCCTCCAGGAGGGCCACCCTATCGTTCTTAAGGAGGCGCAATCGAACACCAGCTGGCTTGAGAGCCTATCACGGGGCTCCACGGTCGGAGAAGGCATGCGGGGATATGCGCCGCTCATTTCAGAGTACATCTACTATCTTATGGCCAAGCTTGCTTTCCACCGACAACATCCCGAGTTCAATGGTACGACGAGCGGCAGCAAGACGCGAATAACTGGCTGATTGGAATAGGAACCTTCGAGTACGAGGAGTACATCAGCTTGAAGTCGATCAATGACCCTAATGAGGGCTACGAGACCATCTCGGATCTTATGACGCTACAAGATCAGATCGATGCTTTCCAGAAGCTCATCTTCTCACATTTCCGGAGCGGCGCGAACAACGAATGTAGGATAGCGGCGTTGGTGCCACTGGTTCAGGAGTCCTATGGTATCTACAAGTTCATCACCAGCATGTTGCGCGCAATGCACACCAGTAAGGACTAGAGTCTCGGTTGATTTGCGACCCAACTAACCAGCGTAGCACTCGGTGACGACGAAGCGCTCTCTCCTCTCCGCGGCAGATACGATGCCCAGCACTACCGTCTCGTCAAATTCTACTACGAATGCTCGAATCTTAGATACTTGACCAACCTCATTACAGTGCCAAAGCTGCCACAGGAACCACCGAACCTGCTCTCTGAAGATGAGAGTGCGCCCGCGCTACCTCAACGACCCCGCAACGAGAAGCCCGAACCCGCTCGCGCTCCATCAGTCGACCCAGAGCCAATCAACGAGTTCTGGAAAGATAATCAGCGGAGGCAACAAGAGGAATACGAGGCTGAACAGCAGAGACTACAGAGGCAATGGGAGGAGGCTCAGCAACAGCAGCAGCAGCAAGCGATGCAGGCACAACGTGACTTCGAGGAGCAACAACGGCTTCAGGCAGAGCAAGCTCGGTTGGCGCAAGAACAACTCATGCGCGAACAGTACCAACAGCAGACACAGGGTCGCCTTGCTGAGCTTGAGCGAGAGAATCTAAACGCGCGCGCTCAGTACGAACGCGACCAGCTGATGCTGCAACAATACGACCAGCGGATGAAGGCATTGGAGGGCGAGATCAACCAGATGAACCAGAACTTCCAGCAACAGATGGGCTCGCGAGACGATCAGATAAGAGCACTTCAGGAGCAGCTCAACACATGGAGATCAAAGTACGAATCGCTGGCCAAGCTCTATTCGCAATTGCGTCATGAGCATCTTCAGCTGCTACAGAAGTTCAAGGCAGTTCAGCTCAAGGCGAACTCCGCCCAGGAAGCCATTGATGGGCGAGACAAGCTGCAACGCGAGTTGAAGACCAAGAACTTGGAACTGGCAGACATGATTCGCGAGCGCGACCGAGCGCTCATGGAGAAGGACCGTCACACTGGTGGCCACCGTGAGGAGACTGAGAAGCTGAAGAGGGAGCTCCGTGCTGCCCTAGACAGAGCCGACAATCTCGAGCGTGGCAAGGGCTCAGAACTTTCGGCAATGCTGTCAAGACACAACCGAGAAATCGCGGATCTTGAGGAAGCGCTGCGGAACAAGACCCGCGCGCTAGACGAGTTCCAGATGAAGTACCGTGAAGGTGACTCTGACCTGGAGCGTCAACTGCGCGACAAGGAGGAGGAGCTGGAGATCTTCCGTGCTGGTATGGACCAGACGCTACTCGAGCTGAACGAGCTGAAGCTCAACGCTGGTACCAACGATGATGTCCTGGACGGCCACTTGGACACAATTATCCAAGACAGCCTCCAGAAGATCAACGACCTCATCGACTCCGTCCTCCAGAGTGGTGTGCAGCGTGTTGACGATGCGCTGTATGAGCTCGACTCTCCTATGCAAGCCGGAAACCAGAATGCCACTGGCGCGTACGTGCTTTCGCAGATTGAGAAGGCATCAACGTGCACCATGGAGTTCTCGACTGCTTTCAACAACTTCATTGCTGACGGGCCGAACGCCAAGCACGCTGAGGTTATCAACGCCGTCAGCAACTTTGGTGGCGCTATCGTCGATGTGTTGGTGAACACCAAGGGACTGACGCGATTCGCTTCTGATGAGAACAAGGCTGACCAGCTCATCAACGGCGCGAGAGCCTCTGCAACCTCGACCATTAGGTTCTTCCGTAACGTCCAGTCAGTGCGCATGTACGACATGGACGCAGAGCAGAAGATCAACGTTGTCATCAACAACAGCACAGAAGTCGTGCGCAACCTGCAGAGCTTGTCCAAGCTCGCGGACGCTTTCGCACCCAAGAGCAAGATCACCAACGCCTCTGGCGATCTTGGTGACTTGGTCGACAACGAGTTGACCAAGGCAGCCAACGCCATCGACGCGGCCACCGAGCGTCTTTCCAAGCTGATGAAGAAGCCGAGAGACCAGTACTCTACCTACGAGCTCAAGATCCACGACTCCATTCTCGAAGCAGCCATCGCCGTCACAAACGCCATTGCGCAGCTCATCAAGGCCGCCACCGAATCCCAAAAGGAAATCGTGCGCGAAGGACGAGGAAGCATGTCCAAGACCCAGTTCTACAAGAAGCACAACCGCTGGACCGAAGGTCTCATCAGTGCCGCCAAGGCCGTCGCCACATCGACAAACATGCTCATCGAGACCGCCGACGGCGTCATATCCGGTCGCAACTCGCCCGAGCAGCTTATCGTTGCTTCCAACGACGTTGCTGCCTCCACCGCTCAGTTGGTGGCTGCTAGTCGTGTCAAGGCTAGCTTCATGAGCAAGACGCAAGACAGGCTGGAGAGCGCATCCAAGACTGTCACTGCGGCTTGCAGGTCGCTTGTCAGGCAAGTGCAGGAGATCATCGCCCAGAAGAACAGGGACGAGGGCGAGGTTGTCGACTACAGCAAGTTGGGCGACCACGAGTTCAAGGTCCGCCAGATGGAGCAGCAGGTATGTATTCATCAACAATTCTCTGGGGAAGAACAGACGCTAACAAATGATTCTAGGTCGAGATTCTACAGCTCGAGAACTCGCTTGCGCAAGCTAGGACTAGGTTGGGTGAGATGCGCAAGCTTTCTTACCTTGAAGAGTAGATGGTCTGCACGTTGGCGCTTGTTCGTTCGTGTGGATAGCTGCTGGTTTATCGTGGATAGTTACCATTCATTATTATTGTCTCATGGTGGACACCCTCTTTGTAAACAAAGCTTGTTCTTCTTCCTCTATAGTTCGAAAGGGAAATCAAGAATGCCTTTGGCATTTGTTGTGATTGACGTTATCTTTCGTGTGAACATTTCTTATCTATCGTACATGAACCCACATCGTCCTATCTCAACTTTTTCTCTTCAGCCCCATGATGGGTGATCATTCCATCCGAGATCGCCTCAGCTGAAGATCCAGAGGGAAACCCTCTTCCTCCCCCTTCTTGTACAAGACCAAAGCCTCCTCAACCGTAAACATAACCCCCCTCTCAATCCTGGCTTTCGCCTTCGCCTCTTTCAGCTCAACCTGCCTCGAACGAATCTTCTCCAGACAAGCTTTCATCTCGTCGGCAGCCAGAGCGCGCTTCTTCTCCTCAGCCTCGCGCTTCTTCTCTGAAGCTTGGCGCTCCAGCTTGCCGACTTCGATGCCAATCATCTTGGCCGAAAACTCATCCGCGGAGACAATGTCGTCCGCAAGCTCTCCCACCTCCTCTGCTCGGAAGGCGGGTTGCTGGTCTGTAGTCTCGAACCCAGGCCATGTAGGTGGGTTTTGTTCATCCCACAACCTCATGTAGGTTGGTAGGTATGTCAAGAGATGAACTTCATCACACTGTTAGCATCATGTAGGCTCCAGGGTATGTTGAGAACTCACCTGCGCAACCCTCATAGGCCTTGACGGCACCAAGATGCTCACCCACCAAGACATCCTTGATACAGGGACAGTAGATGATCGGACGGTTTGGGCGGGGGTCTTGGTAGACGAGATGGCCGCACACCAGGCAGAAACGTACAAGCCGGTTTGAGCCGAGATGGTATGTCGTTCCCCGGAGTAGGTCGTCGTGTTCATCTCCTGTTGTGGGTACGCCGCATGTCAGGTCGCAGTCTCTGCACACGCCCAGGAATTTGTCGTCGAATTCGGGGTCGTTGGGAAGAATGGGGTAGACTTGGAAGCATAGCCGGCAGCCAAGATAACCCTGGCCTTTGGTGTACGGGTTGAGGGTGTATGGGGTGCACTTGGCATGCGCGCGCCTCACTACGAATGCTATCTTGTCTTGGAGCTTGAGGCCATGAGAAAAGCCTACTTCGACCAGTGGGCGGAAATGGCGATGGGTTTGGCAGAGGCGGAGTGCGGTCTGGTAGTCGGTTGCTTGGATAATGCCACAGAGGACGACTGGCGGTAGATCCAATAGGCTTCTGCGCTGTTCGGGGCTGACAGGGGCCTTGATCTGAAGTCCTTTGCTACAAGGTTAGTCGGAAGGTTAGTCAAGATCCAAGAAGCGAAATAGAAGAAGCGAAGTAGAAGAACTGAGGTAGAAGAAGCGACGTAGAAGCAAGAAAGAGAGAAATGTAGAGGCAATGCACGGAGGTTAGTCAAGTCGTACAAATCCAGAGTAAGGTTTCGGGCTCCAGTGTCGTTTGCTCGATGGTCAGCGCTCTGTTGGGCAGCGACGCCAGAGTTGGGCTGTGCCATCTTCTGAGCAGAGAATGTGAGAGCTTGGTAGCAGCTGATATCTGGCTGTGATCTGGCTGTGATCTGGTCGTGATCTGGTCGTGATCTGGCCGTGATTTGACTGTGCTTCACAAGTATTCCTAGACGCTGTATTCAATCACGTAAGTTGTGCTCGGTTAGTGAATGATCAAGTGTTGGCAGGTTCTTGTCAACAAAAGAACGAGTTCAAAATGGTTGTTTGTGCCCAGGTGCCTGTAGATAAGTGGGGCTGGCTTAGCGGGACACGCGATCACGTGCCCGGCCTAGCGCGCTTCTCGAGTAAACAGTGATGGAGACAATGCGCCCGCTATAGCATCTATTGACCGACTTCGTAGTACATCGAAATCCGTCGCAGTCTGCGATTATATCATCATGCCTACCGCCACGAACCCACAATCGCGCTCTCCATCTCCCACACCCGCTCGACCCATCGCAGACGCACCCGGCCCGCGCGCGCAAGGTCTGATCAATGTATTCAATCAAGCCTCCAAAGCGACCTTAGACAAGTGTTCGGCCAAGAACTTCGCTTCGTGCTTCCCAACGGCTGCACAGTATAGCCCAGAGGTTCTGGACAACTTGAGAGGGCAAATTGTGGATCAATTGGACCGGACATGGAAGAGCAACTTCGAGGACATCATGGAGAGGAGGAATGTGGTTAGGCTGCTCAACTCGCTGGACCAGTGCATAGAGGATGCGAAACTCAGGAAGAAACGCGCTGAAGCGAGCGCCAATGGTGGACCTGTGGAGACGCCTGTGCCGTAAGCTTTGCGAATGCGCCCGCTCTTGTTACTCTCGAATACTGACTCGAGAGCATAGACCGCATACACTTACTCCAGCCGAAATACATCTAGCGCACCTTATGCCGTTCCTCGAGAAGCAAGCGACCGATATGAACACTAAGCTCGTCGAGACTCAGCAGTCAAACACCGAGCTACTTTCGACCGTCACCGCACAACGCGCCGAGATAGAAGCCCTAGTACGAGGCCTAGAGAATGTCATACAAGATCTGGATGCTAGCGCGCAGATTATGGCACAAGACGATGTTCAAGAATTGAGCAGAGAGACTAGGGATCTTGAGATGGAGATGAGGACATGATACTGCAGGGAAGAGCAATACCCCTAGGATACTAGGAGCTTTTATCTTGAAGACTCGGAAAGATATCGCGTCTCTACCACGATCGCGCCACGCGCTCAGAACCAGCGTCAGGCCGCTAGCACTGGGTCCGAAACCCCGCTTAGTTACCCGAACAGGGCTCTCGTCAGAGCCACGCATGCCTGAGACGTACAGGAGGAAGATGGCGGCGAAACCATACTCGCAGATGACGAGAGAAGATAGATGCGGAAACGGCGGTCGAGAGGACGCATGGTGATAGTTGCTGAGATCGCAAGTTCCTACTAGTGGAATGCAGCAAATGGACGTGTCAGCTACCGCGAGGGCGAAGAAGAGAGGTATCAGGTGCATTAAGGTTGACAGCAGGAGTTGAAGGCTCGATAACAGACGTTTGACCATTGTCGCAAAGGATAAGACACAAATGCGTTGTACAATGTACTTATGAATAATATAACAGTATCATGAGTATACGCATCTGTTCATTCCAAACCTGGATTATACACACATCACTCATATTACCCTACCCACTCTATGGCATATAGCACTTGAGCAACGAACCCAAACTCAACTCGCTCCCCGTCTGCAACAGAAGATTCAACGCGCCAGTACCAAGGTACACAGGGCACTTGATCGCCTGCGCCTCATCCACAGCCTGCTTCAACGATTCCGCGTACCCTCCAAGCACCTTACCCTTCCCATCCTCCTTGCCTTCCAAAACAGCAATCATCTTCGCACCCGCATCCTTGAACATGGCGCTTCCACCCGCGGCATCACACGCCAGCTCGTAGAACTGCGGTAATGGGATACCGACGTGCTTGGCTAGCGAGATGGCTTCAGCTGCGGAGACGAGGTGGATGCCGGTTAGGAGGTTTACTACGAGCCGGAGCTTTGCTTCTTTGTCCTCGGCTGAGAGGCTGCTTTGGATGCTGGTGACAGGCTCAGAGGTCCACAGGCGGACGAGGCCTGAGTCGTCGTTGGCGCCCCAGCCGCGGTCGAGGGCGGAGAAGTAGACTTGTTCGGCGGCTGAGCAGAGGGTGGCTGGGAAGGCTACGCTGCGGGACATGGATGTGATGATTCCCTGTTTTGTTATTGTTAGTACAATGCCACATCACTTCGGGATCCCCAGGGTGGAGGGTTACTTACAGTATCCTTCAGGATAATCGTTACAGCACTCGCCCCAGGGAAATAGTCTTCCTTCAGCGTCCTCTGACTGCGATTTTCAAACATCCAACTCCAGCCCGTACTCCCGAGCACCTTGTCGTACACGTCCTGTCCGTTCAAGCCCAGTCTAGCAGCGAACCCGTATGCTTCGCTGAGAGACAGAATCTGGATTGCCGCAAGCACCTGATGAACCATCTTCATGTTGCTGCCAGCACCGATCCCGCCATCAACGATGAAAAGCTTGGAAGGGGCGGACATTTCTTCGAGTAGCCATTGGCCTTTTGAAAACGCGGCAGATGAGGCGCCCGCCATGATGGAGAGAGTGCCGTCTGCGGCTCGGCCTGCACCACCGGAGACAGGTGCATCAATGAACAGGACATCATCGCGGCCGATATCTACCAGCTCTTTCTCTACACTCTTCGCGTATGCACTTGGTACTGTCGAGCACAGCAAGAGTGTCGCTCCCTTTGGCAAAGCGTTCACAATACCGTCTTTGTCGAAAAGCGCGGGCTGAGCCTGCATGGCCGATGCGACCATGACGATGTAGAAAGGCTTGTCTTTTGCAGAGTCTGAGAGTGATGTTGATGGTGTGCCGCCCGCAGCCTTGAACTTCTCCAGCGAAGGAGGGTAGACGTCGAAGCCGGTTACGGGGTAGCCTTGCTTGACGAGATGCGTGGCCATGCCCATGCCCATTGCGCCTAGGCCGCAGAAGCCGATTTGGGGTTTAGAAGACATTGTTGTGGTGTTCGTGGTGTCTTCCTGGTTTGGTTTGAAAGGGGGAACAGCTTGGTGTCCCAAAGTATCCTATCTCAACACTGGGTTCCAACGTTGACGCGACGAATACTGCACGGAAGCCGTTATCCACAGATGCGGTAGTTCTCTTCGGTGTCACTCTTCTTTATGCTGTTCCCAATATCTAGCTCTTTCTTAATTGCGATACAACCGATTTGACGTCTCAAGTTGAGAGTTGGAGTCAAGATGTCAGTCACAAAACATCGACCACGAACTTCTCTCCCATCACCCCACAGTTCAACGTCACACGCCGCTACGTTCCCCAGGGAAAATGGCCTTGGGCCGGCAAAAGACCCGTCTTCGGTCATTGACATTCATCCTGGTTGCCCCGCACTATGAGCGAAACCGGTTAGGTGGGGTATCTCTCACCCGCCGAAAGTGGGTCGTCGGCAAATGACCGATGGCAGGCTGTGTTGGGGAACCCGGCCGCACCAAGATTGGACATTGAGCATCGGCGGGCGGGCCGGCTCGATGAAAAGATGCTGCGGCTTGTTGATGAGAACGAAGTGTGTCCGGCCGGTGGGCTTCAGGTTCGGGTCAATGTATGCCGTGATAGCGATTGAATACAGACTCACATGGTGCTGCAACGATGAGAGTTTCTGGACTTCAATCAAATAACGATAAATGCGGGTGTCGTATCATTTTCAACGAAGCATATAGATTATCTCATTACACTATTACTGCAAGGTTCATACAACGCGCGGTGAAAATCGTCAAAAAGTCATGATATCCGTGTGCCCCAAACCAGACTTCAGCTTCTAGTGAGATTCGTCATCCAGAAAGCTTTCCATCACATAGCCCAAGCCACATTAATCGGATATATCGGATCCAAAACTGCAGTGTCGTCGCTCATTCCATCGGGGGTATAAGTCGTCAGTCCTCGTGAAGACGGACTATTAGTGGACAGAGAGTGGAAAACTGCTTAAGCCGTCAGTGTGACGTCTAAGCAGCAACAACCCTCTCGTCCTCGCGACCGCGCTGGTGCTCACTAGCGATGGTGGAAGTGACATCGTCGTCA